TCATAAAGGGAAATGAGGCCGACGCAGCTACAGTAACAGAAAAATTACTAAATTACTAAACATCACTGCACAATATGCTGCACGAACGATGGCTTTTCAGATCTTCATCGATCTATTTGTAAATCTAAAGAGTTTCATGGTATGTTTTTGGATGCTTGGGGACAATAAGCAACATCGTACAGTTTCCCACAAGGCAGGGGTGCAAAGGAGGCGATGCTTCCATACATAAATGACTATAAGGCCACATCATGTCACCTCACCAAATGAAACAGAATTGGGCCAACTAAGATTAAAGCATAAAGCCTAGAATTACAATCTGTTCACACATGGCAGGATGGCGTTTTGGGGGGTTTATTCCAGTCACATGACACTGCTGTCATGAACCCTCTTCTGAAAGTATACGACATTTTTACATGTGCCAATTTACAGTCACTGTGTTACAGAGTCGAGCGTGTGAGGCCAGCCAGGCCGTAAAGTTGAGCTCAGTAACAGTCTTTTCAGATCTGCAGATCTCCGTGCATCGAACTGGCAAATCTTATCATCAAAGCTGCTCTAACAAGTCACTTTCTCTGTATATTTCTGTGAAACAACCAGCGCATTTACTCACAGCTCTTACAGCAGTACAAAGACCCTGTTCATGTATGTCAGGAGACATGGTCTACATTTAGGCCAGGCAGGCTGATGCTTCAGAGGTCTCCAAGGCAGAGGAGGAGCTCCGCGGAGGGCAGTGTTTCTCGACAACACGTTCATTATCAAGGCTCTTTGCTTTATGGCTGCAATGAGCACATTTTATAATTTTCCTTTATAATTTGCAGATAGGAATTCATCAGCGAGCTGTGTCAGTAATTACCTTCCAGTGTGAGCACTCCGGAGAAAATGAGAATCATTAATTGCTCACAAAGAATTGAGATTTTCTCCGATTTTTAATGAAACCATATTAAAACCATTTAAACCTGATTCATGGAGTTTGTGTCAGAAATGGAAACCCTTTAATTCCCCCAAATTACCACTGAAATACACAAAAGTCATTTCACATGCTGCTGGAATCAGCCGGCGCTCTCGATGAACTCACGATCTTGCAGCTAACAAGTTTACAGTATTTTATTTCACATCAAAATTAATGTGATATGTTTATTTTAGGGTTCAGTTGTAGGCCACAGTCGAATGAGCCGTTACGGTGATTGATGGAGCATCAGTCAAAGCTTTATGAGGAAAGTTACAGG